GTTGATGCAGTCGTTGTGTTTGTCCTGTTGGGGCGTATGCTTCAAAGTACTGGCCACAAAGCTGCTTTGACCAGCTTCATAGTCATCATCACCTTCCGAAAGGATATCTTCGATACCTCGAAGTACTTTGCCAGCTACAATTCCAGCTTCTCCCATGGATGACATTCTCCACTTTCCAGCTGGCGACCTTTGAACCCTGATTAGGCTGTCGACGAATCGAGCCACTTTTGCTTGCGTGTCAATGATAAGAAGGCCCCAATGTTGGCCATGAGCCCCAGATTTATGGCGAGATTTATGGTCTACCGGTAGCGTTTTGCTTCTGTTGTTCCTCTCGCTTAGCTCATTCATATGCGCAATGCCCTTGGCGATTCCGTCTGAACAAGGAGCCACAATCCAACGTTTATGATTATTTTTGACTAGGTCAGCCAAGGCACTTTCCAGACTGTCCAGCGTGACCATCTTCTTCCCAAGAGAATAGAGTTTTTGCACAGAAATGTCTCCTAGGACAAGTACGTCAGAAGGTCTCTTTTCTTTCGATAGTGCAGCAATTGCGGCGAACACGGTGTCTTGCTGCAGCCAACAGTCTGGGAACTTCAAGGAAGAAATTTTCAGAAGATCTTGAGTGGTAATTTCGTATTGTTGGCCGTCTTCTGTCGTAAACTCGAGGTAAGGTTGTTTCAGCCATACTTTGAGAAGGCTTTCAATCGATTCCGCATCGGCCATTATGATGATTAGCAAGTTATTGTAAATTAAGATTAGTTATTGTTATTGGTATTGTTATTGTTATCGTCAGGTATCGATGTTGTTGATGATGATCATAGGAAGATGCAAAGACGGGCGATCATGCGAGTCAAGTACTTACCTACAATGCTCGAGAACAAAGCTCGAATGTCGAGGGCGAGAAATCTTCTCCTTGTTCTTCTAAACAATGGGCTACAAAAAGGCTTCAAAGCGCATTTTTTGGCCTTCACGTGGCTGAAACGCTAATAGAAATGCATCTTGAACAAAGGGGATTGCGGTCAGCACTGCGGTCTTTGATTGCTTATCCACCTAAATTTGGAGATCGACCGTGGCGCAGATCAAGATGAAGATGATTGGTTATTGCACCACATAGATACAGTGCCAATGCTCATGTACTCTATTACAATGATCGCAGTTGGAGACTTATTTTCTTAGTTTCCCGGTACCCGTTGTTGCAAGGACTGTAGAGGTGGTCTAACCCAGCTTGAACGCGTCGAGTACCAGCACACGAGTCTGCTCGGAATAGGCTAATTTAGTGATCAAGGAAGGCTAGATGGGCCGATTCATTGTGAATGAAACAACTGGCACATGTGAGCGCTTAGCCTCGCATCTAGAGTTTTGAGTTAAATTAGTCTGTCAAACCTCAACGGGGACTTCTTACAAACGGCATACTCTTGAGATTTGAATTTTTGAGTCTCTTACAGATATTTCGAACAAAGGATAGAGGAATCGGTGCTTGCTTGAGCTTTCCACTACCATCAATGCTCACCTGAGTGTGCCGTTGGCACACACTGTTTCTCCCCCTCAAATGCTGAACTTTAAAACATTATACAAGCCTTCAAACCTCCGCATCATGCTTTACAATTTCTCCATACCTCTGATATGACTCCTCTGAGTCTGAGTCTAAACTGCAGTTTGTGCGGCTGGCCCGGCAATTGGACCTCAATCATTCGCCTGGACTGCAGCTTCAGGAAACGTGATCCCAGATCGAGTGTCCGTTGACACAGATGAAGCAGACCTCAATATACCTATTTCCTGTGATCCCATGAGTGGCGCTTCATCTGACTCGTGTTGATTCTCAACGTTATTGCTTTGGCGACTCCGCTCCTCCATATGCATGTCTTGCGCCTCAAGTCGTGAGTTTGTGCGATTGAGAGACACCGCTATGAAAGCCAGGCCAATATATGCGATCAATCTGTTCCAAAATTAGCAATTGATTCTCACATCCTGCCAGAAAATTGCAATATGTAATACTCACAGAAGCCCAATTACCCCAGACATCCAGGTACAATAAGTCCGAAGTTGCTTTGAACTAGCGGGCTTCCACTCCAAATACCACATTTTTCGTTCGGTTGCCCAGCACCATTTATAGGCCTCCGTTGTAGCGTGATTGCTGTCGCGCAACATAGCCAGCTGCCACGCGAGAATCCCGTAGCCTGCGACAATCAGGGTTGCAAAGAGAATGGCGTGGGAGTTTCTGATTCCGACTGAATAGTGACAATGTACAAGGCCCATCAATAATGTGCCCAGGACAATAGGAATGGCAATGACTTTATAGTAGAATATACTAAGGAGATCAAAAGTCGTTGTCAGTCATCATGAAGTACATATTCCAGAACCATGCACAGGGTGAGAGGACTTGGTAGACTTACTCGAAATTAATGAACGCTTGAACTGGAATCACCATTTCTGGCTTTTTGATATTTGCGTATATCACGGGGTACGATTTTTCGATGATCTCTGTGCCTTCGCGAGTAGCAAGACACTCTGCAATGTCACTGGTGTAAACCCATAATGAGGCTAGCGAGACACATGTAAGTGTTTGTATACCACCGAGAATGGCGATGAACATAACGAGCCATCGCTGTCGGTCGATTGTGTTAGTGAATGCTGGTGAACAAAAATGGGTGGGGAGAGTGGTGGACGAGGCATACAATATGGCGCGAGGATCCCGGCCAGCGCTTTGAGCGGCCGCCTAGGAATGCCAGAGAAATTCTTGTGCGTGGCATACCAACTTCTTGGTGTTTTGTGGAGGTACTCGTGGAGAATGGGTACGCGTTAAATTTGAAACCAGCGTGAAGACGAAGTTGAGCAAAGAGCGGCGGAAGAGTTTTTCATAAAGGTCTTTAGTTCAGGACAGATATAAAGAAATTTGTACCGAGAATTAGATGTGTGATATAATGGTAGCGAGCAGCCCTGACACGAGACCTGGCATTGGTAGAGGATGCACACTATTGATTTAATAGCACAGACTACTTTAAGCACTATATCGGACGCCAAAACACCCTATGTATACACAAAAGAGATACGCAGCTATTGGGACATCGCATTCAGAATAATCACACAGCCACATATGCTTTACGCATACCTATGGGTACCGCTAAATGGTCAAACTAGCCAACCTCCTTCTCTTGCTCTCCGCGGGCACTGCTTCACACATGCCGATTTCCCCGACCCTGATTCCCCGCCAAGGTGCCTGGCTCTGGACCACCGCAGCATTCTTCGCATTCGCCTTAACCGCATTACCCAATGGCTTCAAATTACCGTTCTTATCCCGTCCACTTGCGTATTCCCCTCTCAGAATCACTCTATCACTCTGTCGTTTTCCATGCCAGTAGCACAGCCCCGTCCACGGACCCTTGTACATTTCGTGCAGTGGACATAGCGGACTCGTGGGATAGTGTTCTGGCACCATCCACTCGAATTTCCTGCGATCTTCGTCTTCTTGGCGGGCTAGGACGCTGAGGGTACGCTCAGAGAGGATTTCTCCGTGCGGGATGCGGAACAAGGCTTCATTTCGAAGTAGGCGGGAAGGAACGCCAGGATGCATACTCGCGGCGCTTGGGTGACTGCTGTGTTCCCTCGTGGTAAGTCTTGGTGAACCGTTGAGTTCGAACTGGAGAGATGTAGGAGCGTCTTCGTCTTTGGGACCTTCAGGGCCTTCGTCTGCTTCCTCGTCGTCTTCCCCAAGATTGAGGTCGGTTGTTAAGCTTATCAACAACGCATCAGAGTCCCAGTAACCGCCGGGGATAAATTTGGGCCTGTTACGACGTGGTGCGGCTCCACTTTGCACGTCGAAGAAGAAGTCTGCAAGCTTTCCTTTGACCTCACCGTCTGCGTCAAACATGGGAGGTGTAGGGACGCGATTTACTTCTGGAGGAATGAACACCGGTGGAACAATCATCCTTTCTAGGCCTGCGGGCTTGTTCAAGATAGGGACAGGTTGTTTGCTGTACCATTTGCGAGTGGAAGTTTCTTTTGCTTGCTTCTTATCTTTGTCAATGGATTGATCGGAGTTGCGGTTGGTACGTTTGAACAAGTTGAAAGAGAGGCGACGGATTATGGTTTCGGGTGTTTGTCGGCCATCATCACTAGATGTTTTCCACCATCCTCTGCCATGTCGCGTGCTCGTGTTCTGTCCCAACTCTAGAAGTTCACCTTTCAGACGGGCTTGCTGTTCCCCTTGTACTCTCAACTCCTCTGGTGATTGCGTCGTGTTTGGTGTGAATGCAAGCATTGACTCACTTGTACCGCTGCGACCACTTCGACCACTGCGAGATCTAGAGAAGTTGGGGCGGTTAATATAGCAACGGTCACGTACTCTTGTAGCAGGTTGGTCCATTGGCATCAATGGGGACGAGAAAATTGGATCGGAGCCTGGCAAAAGGCCCATGCCGCCGTGACTGCGAGAGTCCGTTCCCACGATACTGGGCAGGAAGTAATCTTCTTCCATGATTGGCATGGATTTGACAAGAGGCGTAGGATCCCAATTAGGTGGCTCATTCCGTATCCATGGTGTCTTGGGACTACGTGGGTGTGAAGGAATTAGACCATTCAGATCAATACCCGTTGAGCGACCACGAGCAGGTAAGCTCGATGAATCCACAGATAAAGGAAGGTCTAATTTCACTTTCCTTCGATCTCTCAGACCACTACCAACCGTCCTCTTCAGAGGTGGTTTCTTGGGAGTGATTGGGCTTGTGGCAATCGATAGCTCCTTGCGCGTGTTAGAAAGGCCAGATTCCGTTGCATACGACTGCTTCGCCATTCTAGTGCGATATGGCGCGAACGAGAGTTTGCGATCTTTCCGGCTGACTCTATTCGATGGTGCATCCTGAGATGATCCTCTACATAAGATTCCAGTTCCGTCAGCTGGTTTCTCAGGAGCGAACATCCTCATATCTGGCACACGGGACACTAAGCCTCTTGCAAATTCTGCAATAGATGACCTTCTAGTACCTGGTCGTGATGATTCAGTGGTCGAGGATCGGGGAATTGTCTGCAGCTGGAAGTCGTCCGAGATGGTACGCTGGAGCTGCAGGTTTTGAATGTCATCCGCATCGTCAATAGTCTTACGACGCAGTATCTCTTCAAGAGGAGGCGGCGAGGTTGAACGGCACTGCTTAGGTGGTAGCGGATTTCGAAAATCCTGTCTCTCATCTGCCATAGATGGTTGTGCCTCTACCATGAACCCTTCCCGTCGATTGTCGAGACGAGGAGTGAGACCATCTTCCGTCGTTCCCTCATCGTGCAGATGATGATCCGCGTGCTCCTGGAGCGTAGTATAGTGTCGTCTCAACGGTGCTGTAGGTTTTAGGTGGGAGAGAGGTATGTCCTGTGCGGTATTGTCTGTGGAAGTAGCTTGCTTGGATTGAACTGGCGAACAAAGAATTTGAGCCCTTCGCGCGGCTTGCTCGAGCGAATGGAGCGAGCATGATGCTGATGGCATGGATTGGGTAACCTCAACGAATGCAGCTTCGTCCTCACCCTGGCTGTCGTCATGAGCATGAGGCCACGCGGAATACTCATTAGCGATCTTTAATGTGGGATTATGATAGGGTTCTGTAGGATACATGTTTGTAGGTGCGGAAATATAGAAATGTCATGGTATTGTTGTCGCCCGTGCTGCCAGGGTAAGAAGGGGTGGGATACAATCGTAGTGGCGGTGATGGGGAAGCAACCATCGACGCCATTGTATCGCTATTGCAACTTTCACCTCTGTCGAAGTAGATAACACGACGCCGCCAACACCAGCTTATGCAACATTAAATCGTGTAACATCATCGCAACTCATGTACACAAAACGTTAAACCAACTCCTGTGACCTATAGACCAAAATGGCATTACCGTTCAGAGCCAGATGTTGCTGTGACTACGCTTGTGCCGTCTACAAACCTGGTTCGGAATATGCGGTTCGCATTCTGAAACATGCCGTCTTTCAAACTAACCACAATGAATTGCGAGCCCTTGAACCGCGTCTTGAATAGGCGACCAATATTTTGCGTATGCGACAAGTCGAGCGCGGCGTCGACTTCGTCGAGGATGTACATGGGTGCTGGCTTGAATTGTAGGAGTGCCATGATGAGAGATAGAGCGATGAGGGAGCTGTGAAATATCAGCTGGTGTCCTGTGTTCGAACGCTAGGTAACGTACCGTTGTCCACCACTCAACTCAGTCAGTGACTGTTTCCACACTTTACCCAGCATTACCTTGACTTCTAAGCCATCAGATATGGTCTTGCCTTCTGGCGGTTCCAATTTAGAGAAACTGCCAGGTAGAAGTTCGTTGAAGATTTGCCCAAAGTCGCGGTTAACCGTCGTCCATGTCTTGTGCAAGGCTTCCTTCTTGTACTCATCGAGTTTGAGAATTGTCTCCTCAATCTTTGATTTATCCTTGATGACCGTTTGCATGTTCTTTTTGAGACTCGCCTCCTTCTTCTCCACATTGTCAATCATAGCCATGACCTTTGGATTGATCTTGTTCTTCTTTTGTTTGAATCGCTCTTCAAGAGCTTTCCGCTTTGCTTTTGCATCAGCCATGTTTACTCCCTTGAAATCGTACACTGTGCCGGCTCGGCCGAACAGCTCGGAATCGCTGGCAATAAAGTCATATTCTTTCTCGAGCGCTTGCACATGGCTTGCAGCATCTTCTTGCTCCTTGTGGAACCTCTCGATCTCATGGCCGAGTTTCTGGTGCTCCAGGTTACCTTCTGTGATCAAGGAGTTCTTCTTTCGAATCGCATCCTCGAGTGAACGCAGTTCTTCGTCGAAACCTGTCAGTTTGGCTTGCTCGTCCGACAAACGAGCTTGTGCAATGTCATGTGCATCCTATCAAGGTTAGTCATTGTCCCTATATTATGATTGAATTGAATACCTTCACCCGAGCTTGCTCGGCCAAGAGTTCGTTAAGCTCTTCCTGTTGCGATTGCAGTGTAGTCTGCACATCCTCAAGTTGCTCCTGTGCCGCTGCAAGATCGCTACCGCACTGCTCAGAGTCAACCATAGCTTCACGCATTTTCGACTGCAGAGGCTTGATAGATGCACTGTTCTTGCTCAAAGCCTTTTTCAGCTTATCCAGCGAAGCTTGCAGTTCAGCTAGCTTGCTGTCCTTGTTATTGTTGAAGTCGCTCATATCTCGCTCGATGCGCTTAATGTCCTTGCTTGCTTCATCTTGGCGTGCTTTAGCAGTCTTAACATCTTCCTTGAGCTGTGCAATCGTCTGCTTCATCTCTTCAACCGCCTGAATAATCTGGGATATGGTCAGTATGATGGCAAAAACGATATCTAACGGTAACTCATACCGATGACGATGAATTACCGCCGATTTGCTCTTCGGTAAGTTTGATCTCGTGATTCTTGAGATCAAGCTCTTGTTTCGATTTCCGTGCGGCGTCGAGCTTCTGCTTTTCCCTGGCCATTTTGGCCTGAAGCTGCATGAGCTTAGCCTCGTGTGAGCTAAGCTCTGTGGTGATAGCATGAAGTTTTTGTAGGGTGATGAGTACACCGCTGGCTTGAGGCGCACTACCACCAGACAGTACACCCGCAGGATCATAGGTGTCACCTTGAAGTGTGACGCTCTTCAATCGCACGGCTGGGTCGAAGGTTACCCGTTTCGCGGTCTCTGCATCTTCGCACACAAGCGTTGATCCGAATACATACTCCATGGCCTTTGTGACCTCCTCGTCATAACCTATTAGCGACAAAGCTATATCAACCTTGCCTGGGGCAATCCTTTGTGCGGCACCGATCTTCTCTGCGGAAGCTCTGAAAGCAGCGATTTTGTTCAGTGGGATGATGGTGATTCGCTTCTTAAGCCGGCCATTTTCTAGCAGCTGTTTACCGGTCGATGCCTCGTCGACTACAACGTTGTATAGCCGACCACCGGCGCAGATCTCCAGTGCTGTCCCGGCTCTTGTGTGCTCCTTTTCTAGCGTGAAAAGTTGAGCAACAAGACCTTTCACCCGACTTCGGTCAAAGTTGGGCGATGGGTCACTGTAGCTGAAATCAATGTTGGCAACCTGCCGCCGCAGGCCGTCAGCTTGTTGCTTGAGTTCTCGTATCCGCGCCTGAAGATGTGATTCTTGTTGATACATTTCAGATTCTTGACCTTCATCGAATCCTAGTCTTGTTAATTCTGTTTCGAGCTTCTTAGCCTGCAACTTGAGCGACTCCAGGTCCTTGAGAAGACCAGAGTTCTGTTGTTTGGCCTTCTTTGCTTTAGGCTCGTCTTCCTTGATCTGCTTCTCAAGATGGGAGATCTTGAGTTTGCTTTGCTCTTGTTCTGTAGCAGCTGCGCTTACACGATTTCTTGCGTCTTGTAATTGACCCTGATAACCGCCCTCTGTGCCTTCTTTGGACGCTACACCGGTTTGAAGGGTCTGCAAGAGCTCTTCCTTTTCCTCGACCTCTTTAGTCTGCTTTTCTAAATCGGCAAACGCAGCCTGATACTGTTCCTGTAGTTTCTCATAAGTCTCTTTCTTCTCTTGAAGTTGCTGCTCCAACTGTTCGACGTTTGCCTCGATGCCTTTCTTGCGATCAACTTCCTCAGACATGCTCGTTTTCTTGAGATCCAGGACAGTCGTCAGGCGAACAGCTTCATGTGAGTGTGCCTTGACCTCCTCTTCAAGAGCTTGAAACTTGCCACCCTTGCGGAGTTCCTTCTCACGTGTAGCTTTGACTTGCTTGATATCTTCCTGCAAATGTTCAATTTCCCTTGTCATCCGCACTTTTGACTCCTCTAAATTATGTGCCCTTGTCTTCTTGGCCTCAAGATCGTCCGCAGATTGCTGTAGCCTCTCGTTGTATCGTATGTAGTCATGTGCAACGACAAGCTTGGTGAGACGTTCAAGCTCGCTCTGTGTTAATTGGAACTCCAGGAACGCGCGCTTCTCCTGTCGTAGTTTTTCAAGTTTAGGATCAATCTCGTCCCGTAGCAGCTCTTGGATTTCCTGCACCTTCATCTCCTTCTTCGCCATCGTCTTGTAGGCCTTATCCCGTCTATCCTCAAACATGCGCGTTCCTGCCGCCTCTTCCAGCATAGCCAATATCTCTTTTGCCTTCATGTTCAGCACCTGCATGACCTTTCCCTGTGCAATCATAAAATTTGGGTTGTTGATGTTCAGCTGTACAGACTGGAACAGATTCTGGATACTCTGTTGTTGGGCTCGGTGCCCGTTGATCAGGTATTTACTCGCCCCTCCCAGGACAATCTGCCTCGTCACAGATATTTGCGCATTCTCTTCGAAGCCGACCGGGCTCTTAGACTTGTCGCGATTGTCGAAGACGATAGTAACGCTCGCTTTCGTGACGCCAGCTTGACCGCGCTTATAAATGAGATCCTGCAGTGAACGCAAATGTCAGCCTAATCCCGCGCATACCACAACGGCCGTTTGTACTTGGAGGTTCTGCGCTCGAACTACACTCAGGTTGTTTATACCCAGCACGAAGCATATTGCGTCGAGTATGTTCGATTTTCCAGATCCGTTCAGTCCCGTAATTGAATTGAAACTCTCGTCCCTGTTTATCGGTAAGCGGGGTGTATCGGGCATTCGAAAGGGTAAACAAACCAGCCAGAGATGACTGTGCGCACCGCATACGACTTATAGCCCTGATTTTGTTAGAAAATACCGCTCGGATCTATACGCGATACTCACATCTATCACAAGTTCTATAATCCTCATAGTGGGCGCATGTGCTGTTGTAGAGCCTGCCGTCTGTCGTCTGTTTACCTTTGTGCTCCACCAGGGTTCACTTGGCACTCCGGAGCGCCTCGGGGATTTCACGCTAATGACGACCACGTGATCACGCGAACTTCATGACGTGGATGCTGGACGCGCTTTGCCAAATGCCCTACTTTTCATTAACATCAAAGTTACTCTATATACTTATTGCATTGACCAAGACCCTGCTCGAGTTACGCTCGACGTGATCAATACTACACAGCGGTCACTTTAAGATTCACTGGTGAGGGCCTTTAGACGTCACACAATCGCGCGTATTGGCCGTCGAAATCATGAATGATTGATGTTTAAGGAAAGTAGAACGGGTATAACTATGTGCTAAATCAGGCGCTAATATGCATTTCAAATGAGTGTGGTTTTATCGTGCCTGGCCCAAGCAATGCTTTGGAATGGGCTCCAAAGGAGCTGTCCTTGGAGCCCCACCAATGTCTTCCGTCAAGTCCCGCGAGTCAACACTCTCCAATGGTCTCATATCGAATTCGCTTTGGTGCTTAGAATCCCCATGACTGTTTCGTGCAGACTCATCTGGACCGATCATGGGAGGTTCCCGCGGACCTTCGTTCAGACTGAAGCGAAAGCTTGACAGCCCTCCGCTGATCCGAACTCGGTTGCCAATCTTGCTGGGCCATGTTTGAGGCATGGTAGTGCGGTCTCCATAGTATCCAGTAGATTGATGGGTACCCCAGTAAGGGAATAGATAACGAAAGAGGCACTTGGTTGCCGGAGCACAAGCTGTCATGATATGTACAGCAGGCTCGGCGATACTGATGGCAATACCGATATTCCACGTCCGGTCCTTCATATCAGGCGCAAAGCGATAGTAGTATACGATGAACCTGCCTACACTTACCCCTGTCGCAATCCAACCTAGGCTCATTACGGCAACAACCAGGACCTTGGTGCGCCTGGACATTTGAAGATTATAGACCATGACCGACGGAATAGGTATAATGATCAGGTCCATAAATATGCTGAGAGCGCAACTGGTCAAGATAAAGGTTCGAGCATCGACACACTTCCCTCCCGGTACAATGTTGCCGTCTGCATCAAGCGCGTCCATTGCTGGTTTCGACCAGACATAGCGAATGGGTGTGCACTGGAACATATTGACGAGCGAGGTTCCAATGAAGTACATGACATTGAGCCAGAATACAATGTGCAGGGAATATCTGATGCGGCGACGATTGTCCTTCATACGGAAGAGGAACATGATAATTGAAGCGCGGATCGCACCCATTACTGGTACGAGATCAGTTTCTATTAAGACAGAATGGCTGCATTGCTTGGGACCTACAAGGATGGTACAGCATTTGAACTGAAAAATTCCAGCGGAGAGCGACGAGTTTCTCGTGTGTTGACCTCTTGGGTAGATCATAGATGTGAAACCCAGTACCACTGAGCAGAATGTACACCCATGTGCCAACCGTATCAGCTATCAAAAGGACCATGGCCCCAATTATGAGATAGTCTTCACTGCCAATGAGCATGCGCCTAGGAGAAGGGTATAGAGTTGGACCTACCATCCCAGCCGAAATTCCGCCCAATACACCGAGACCAGATTCGCGACACGACAAAAAGGAAGGAAACAACCGTGAAACAACACACGATGGCGAGAGCCTCCGGTTGTCGATTGTCCACCATTGTGAGCCAGGGTTAAGAGGGAAGCCGTGTCGTCATGAGTCCTATGGTCCCTGGAAGTGTTCTCTTGAGACAGGCAACCCACGAAGTACTTCCAATTGGCAAGGGAGATTGGTTTGGCAAGGAAATGATCTCAACACAGCAGACAATCCGGGAGAGACAGGCGACAAAAGAAAAACCTGGGCCAAGGAAGGAAAGCTATGGGGAGGCCAGAAAATGAGGGAATCCTGTGTAGCGTCCGCACAAATGGAGAACCTGGGCAACCTGGGCTGGCCCAGGACGGACGGATCTAGCTTTCGGATCCTGGAGCGTCTCTGATATTCAGTTTCCAGGCCCTGCTCTCTCATCCGCCGACAAACCCGTGGTCCGACAGGTCAAAGCACCAGAGACGGAACGCACGACCCCTTGGCTGTGGTTGCGCAATTATATCACTTGCCGGTGTCCGATGTTAGGTGTGGTAACTGTGTAGATACAGTGTCAATTCGAGATGGAAGAGCAACCGCACCCAGACCACCCAACCTGCACACAATACTTTAGTGATACCTAGCGATTTTCGATTATTGAGGCCCAGGTCAGGCACCAGGCTAGCCATTTTGACGATCATGGCGTCTGATTTGAGAAGAAAAAGCAGGAAACATGCAATGGGATCATGCGCCGGTGCGGATTGTATGTTCCGACTCGTGTAGGTGGGCTTGGCTGGGCCCAACGAACCCGTCCCGTCTCACGACGCTGAAAGTAGCCCCTTCAAGCCTGAAGTTCAAGCCTGAAGAGGACTGACGATGACAGTAACATTCCAAGCTTATCCTGGCTGCCGAGACGATGTGCCCTTTAATAAGTCCGTGAACTGCTGATTTTGCGATTCAGCTGCCTCGGGCCTGAGGTGAGTTTAAGGAAACAAGAGATGTCGATCGTTTAGCGTCAGCTCCAATGCCTGTCGGGGTGGCTGGCGGAAGGAGGGTCCCGTCCGTACAAGTCTGTGCAGTGTGTTCGTACTACAAATTGTGTAGGCAATTCGCTTACGCAACTATCTAGGTAATAACACGTTCTCGCGGCACTGTCACAGTGTGTCAAAAATCCCAGGAAGCAGTTGGGTCGACCTGATGCTTGATTTCCTAACATGATGTAGAGTTGCAATCCAAGAGGGAATACCTATATATGGTCACTGTTACTAGTGAACGCGACTGACGTGAGCTTTGCAGACTCCCCTGGCCCCCATGCGGTATACCTGTATACGGTACCTATTCGCCTTGTTTTTTCCAGCATGCACTAGTCCTCCGCCACAGTAATTCGTCCAGCCCAATCCTCGCCACGCCACGAGTCGGCGAATGCACTCGACGCCTGACCTAGCAATGCATACCGACTCGCTAACCGAGTATGGTCCATAGTTCCTGCATCGATGGGGCCGTCTTCATGAAGCTCCTCAGCGAACCAAACAAACATTGGAACAGTCGTCTGAGAACGATTCAAGGCTACTATAAAGGCCTGCTTTAAAAAAAATCGAGCTTGCGTAATACTACGTACAACTGTACCATGTGTGGGGTATTATATCTGGCACCGATAATCTCCATCATTCGCTGATCAACCCCGCCCTGGAGGCGGAGATAATTGCCAATGACTGTGAAGATCATCACTCACATACTATATACCATAGTAGGTACAGGGCAAAAACTTTAGCTCACGCCTCGCCAAGGGCGGCAGATTGAACTTCTCCCATTATCCTGGCCCACTTGGTCCAGGGATTTTGGACATGGGGATGGATTCGTATGCGTGAATTGTATCGCTTTTCAAATCCCTCATCTCCTGTCACACGGCCTCGCCCCTCGAGTCGTGCCCTTAGCAACGACTCCAAGAACCCGGTCAATCGATACCGTTGAACCCAAAAGAACAGTCGTTGCGTCAGAGTAACTTTCTAACGCTTCAACCAGATCTTTGACGATCCGGTCGGCAGCTGATCAAGTGTTCTGTAAACGCGCGATCGATTTTTCGGCGTTTCTTTTGCATAGCGTTTCATTTGGCGATATGCATTCTTCTTCTTCTTTGATCAGAGCTCTTCTTATTAGTTCAACCGCTGCGTCGCCACTCCTTTCGACAAATGTCGATACTGGTATCCTCAATGCAGATGTTGACCTCCAAAATGTTGAGCCTTCCCTCAAGCCACTCTTTCAATCTGGATCTTCCACAACAGTCAACATTACTTCTGGATGCAAAGTATACCCAGGAGATCCCCAATGGCCATCCGACGTTGCGTGGGAAGAACTCAACAAACTCACTGACAACCGCTTAATTGCTAAACCCACTCCTTTGGCCTCTGTATGCTACCCCGGCGCGGACTACAATGCTGCAAAGTGCTCAGAATACACGGTGCCAGAATGGCAAAAGTCCTATGTTCACATGCAGGATCCGATCGAAATGATGTCGCCTGTTGCACAGGGCTTGACTTGCGCGCCACCAAGTCTTTACGACTCTCGCGGCTGTACTCGTGGTGGGTTCCCAATGTACGTTGTCAACGCCACTGAGCCAAAGCACGTTCAACTGGCCGTCAATTTTGCGAGGAACACTGGGGTCAGATTGATCATCAGGAACACAGGCCACGATTTTCTAGGGAAGAGCGGTGGAAAGGATGCTCTGAGTATCTGGACGCATTGGATGAAAGATATCGAATATATTGAAGAGTACGTCGACAAAGAAATAGGATATTCGGGCCCTGCTTTCAAGGCTGGCAGTGGCGTTCAAGCCTTTGAGCTATACCAGGCCGCTCACGACAAAGGCAAAGTCGTTGTAGCTGGCGAGGGCGAGACGGTTGGCATCATGGGTGGATACATCCAGGGCGGCGGTCACTCTCCCCTGACTGGTCTCTACGGCACAGGCGCAGACAACGTCCTCTCCATGGAAGTCGTCACCGCTGCGGGTGACTTCGTTGTCGCAAACTCGACATCCAACACAGATCTCTTCTGGGCTCTCCGTGGCGGCGGCGGTTCCACCTTTGGCGTCGTAACCTCTGTAACCGTAAGAGCCCACCCCGACCTCCCCGTAACCGCCTCACGCTTCGGCTTCTCCTCCGCTCAAACAGGCAACGAGACCTTCTGGGCCGCCATACGCGCCTACATCGACCTCTGGACCGCCAACGCCGACGCAGGAACATACACGTACTGGACGCTCATTCCCACCAACGGCACCTTTGCCTTTGCCTTCTCCCCCTTCTTCGCCCCCAACAAGACTGTCGACGAGGCCACCGCCCTCCTCCAACCCTGGTTCACCAAACTCACCGACCTAGGCATCACGTTCAACCCAAACATGACCCACTTCGACAACTTCTACGCCGCCTGGCGCTCTTCCTTCCCGCTCGAAGCCGTGCAAAAGCCAAACGTAGCAACCGGCTCCCGCCTCTTCCCCCGCGCCAACTTTGTCAGCGCAGAGAAACGCGAGGAATGGTTCAAAAACATCCGCCAGTCGAGCGAGAAGAATCGCGTCCAAGTCCATTTCAACATGCAGGCCAAAAACCCTTTTCTCGCTGATGGCCCCGCAAACAGCAACGCTGTAAATTCCCACTGGCGACCCCTCGTCAGCTTCAGCATGCAATCCGTGCGCTGGCCACTCAATAGTACCGCCGCTGAGATCCTACGCATACGCCGTGATTTCCAAGCGGGAGACATGCAGCGCTGGCGTGATATTAGTCCCGGTACCGGCAGTTATCTCGCAGAGGCTGATCGGCTGGAACCGGATTTTGGCGAGGCGTTTTGGGGCGAGGGGTATGAGCGGTTGAGGAAGATCAAGGCCGAAGTCGATCCACTGGATGTGTTTTATGCGACTACGGGGGTCGGTAGCGAGAGGTGGGAGGTTCGAAGTGTGGATGGGTTGCCTAATGAGAATGGGAAGTTGTGTCGCGTCTAGTCGACTTTGGTGTGTGCGTGTGGAGACGGAAAGATGCCCGATGTATATACCTAGTCGTCCCATTTTTGTATATGTTTGGACGCTGCTAACGCAGTCTTTCGTTGATATCTTGGTATTTCCTAGCGTTGCGGGCAGAGGTAGCGAAGTCAGAAGCATGGTGCGCTGGATCATAAAGCAGATTTGTTGCTCACAACTTGAAGTGATGCAAGCTGTTACTGCTCTAAAGCATACGCGTCATTCTGATACGGGCATTAAATTTGTGCATGTTTAGTCAAGTACTCCAAGGGGGAGTTCGTACACTGTGTTAACAAAAGCAAAACACTACCATGTATTATTGCGCGCTGAGGTGGTATGTGAAGTCTAAGCATTACCATCTATGCCCATAGCAAGCATCTTTGTATGCTCATAATACATAAGATACATTCAGTTTCGCTTGAAACAGCTACTATGCGTCGTCCTTGGGTTGCGTATCTGCTCTCCAACTCGGCGTCTTCCCCTTACTCTTCCACATGTCCCTCCTCTCGATGAAGACTTGCCTCGCCCAGGCCTTGACCTCCTCACACTGGATCTTTTGTGCAACCCACGTGAACTCGCCCAAATCCCTCTCACACCCACTTGCACGCTCATACTCGACCATCTGCAACAACAGCTCCATCTTGTCGACATCATGTACGAAGAGGCTCTCTTTGGTCACACTATCCTCGTACTCCTGCCATATCGCTCGTACGTCTGCACCATTCAATCCACCGTTGAAATTGCCAAGCAAGTTGGTACAAATGTAGTCCATTGTCTCGGTTTCACGTCTACTCTTCTCTTCCTTGGTCACATGGTCTACGGGGGTGATGTCACCGACCAGCGATTCAGCCATGTCGTGGATGAGCGCCATGCGACAGCATTTCAGTATGTCGAGAGTCGAGGTAAGCGAAGCGGGAGCCATCATGGTGAGGATGGACATGCGGTACATGTGGTCGGCAATGGACTCGCAATTGTCAATGCCGAAGCGGCGCCAGCCAGCGCGCTTGGTAGTCTTGAGGCGCTCGAGCAGGTGGAAGAAGGGGATGGGGGACGATGTGTTCTCGGCGTATCTGGGAAGGATGTCGGTAAGCACTGGAGAGAACGAGCGCGTGTTAGTAGAAGCGTGGGTTGCAAGAGGGGCATATGGGGAGTGAATATGAATGAGAGGTGTCGCATACGCGTGAAGCGCCAGTTGCTGCTTCTTTCTCATGACATACCGCTCTCAACTGTCCAGCTGCTCTCTTTGGCGGCGGTGGCGTCTTGGGTGACAGACTGCCCCGCAGGAGGCATTGGAGCGCCGTTGATATCTTTTGCTTCACCCATGATGGCCGTAGTCAATGTGATGTTGGGCGAGGTTAAAGTATGGGAATTTATTTTAAGTCACTGCCGGTAGTAGTAGGAGTTGAGTTGTCAAAAAAAAAGTACACAGCGAAAAGCAATCTGGAAAGCAATGACAATGATAAGACGTCAAACCCGACCAGGGTTCAACGAAAGCACCTGCTTTATCGATAGCAAGTTCACTTGACACTTCCAATTACCCCGGCATCCGCCTTGGCAAACAATGCACCTCCACGCACGCACGCACGCACGCACGCACGCACGCACACAGCATGGGTCCGTTACACCGCATCGTCACCCTTCCATCCCAAACTCCATCGCTGCAATATTCGTGGACGGTGGCGCACACCTTCTGCTGATAGCCATATCCATGTGTTGCCATACACATCAGTCATGTCCAGAGCAACCTCGGCGTCATCTACGTCTACAACAACAACAACTACTACGACCACAACCAATGGCAACCCACGTAGTATGGCGGTCAAAACAACCGCTAGAGCACCACTTGCCCCTGCATATTCACCAACAGATATAACATTGTTTGTGACCAACTTGCGGCTTCTAGACTTGGACAAGCGCGACGACTGGCCAGACATCACTGTCCAGACATTCTCAGCCAAGAATGCGGATCAGAAACAGAGGATAAGCGGCGCAGAATGGGCTCTGTACCGCCTGTTCGAGATATGGGATGTCGACGAAACTGCACAGGTATTTTTGTGTGTCTCCCTTTGCCAAAAATCGTACTGAAAGAGGTGCAGAAACTCCAACCTTTCTTCCCACCCCTCGAACCGCTGCAGTCGTTGAACCTTCGCGCCGCTCTCTACCGATGCCTCAACGAACTCAAGAAAAACGGCCTTTTAGGACGCGAAACCGTCTTGCGCAAGACTATGCTGGATGAATGCAAAGGCGACAAGTTCTATGAAATCTTGGCATTCTTTTCCACCATGGTCCTGAAGAAGGTGCTTGCAGCCCAGGGAGATTACGATGGGAACGTTGCGGTTGCGCGAACACTTGCTACGGCTCCTTCTCTTACGCCTGCTCAGCAGCAGTCGCTCTTACCTCTTGCCATTGCTCACAAGGCAGCCCTTGTCAATGTGCTGAAGCAGAAAGAGGAAAAGAGGCAAAAGTTCAAGGAGTTTGAAAACCTTTTGAACACAAAGTCTGTCACTATCAGTAAACGGCTGCGCAAATGCATAGAAACACCAAGAGCGAAGAAACCTGTAATATCGCAAAAACAGGCTGAGGCGGTCAAGAAGGAGCTCAAGGACAACTGGATCGGCAATCCAAGGTGGCTCGATGTCATGCTGCATGGCGATGATGTCGCAGCAGAGGATGTGTTTCTGACTAGTCGATTTGATAAGGTCTGGCATATGGTGGAGAAGGGCTATAAGGTCGAGAACGTCACTACTGAGACCGGATTATTGGAGAATCTGCAGTCAAGAGTCCAAGAGCAGGAATCCAGACTGCAGAAGTGGAAGGCCTTCCATAAAGAACTGAAGGAGGAGCAGTCCCGGTCTAAGGCGAACTTGACGACAGCTCCCATATCGGCGAAGGAATTCCAATTCCATGATCATATTCGGTTACAATTGCCTTCAGCCAAGCAAAATTCCGAGGAAAAGTATGTACGAAAGCCGACCCTCTCTCAAGAGTATCAAGAGATACTGTCCGATTTGGAAAAGGAACTGGCCAATGTATCTACAAGCAAGCCAATTCGGCCAACATTGACGCTTTCGAGGAAGCACACTTCGTCGATCTCAATCTCACCTACGCCAGTTCTGAGTAGAAAGAACACATATCAGAAGCTTGCATCCAAACACGAGGGCGATGCGGTCACGGCTTCCAAGCCATCACTACTACTGAGGACGCAATCTTTTGAAGACGCACCTGTAATTGATCGGCCGCGACAGGCTGCATCAGCGGTGACGCCTGCCGACTCTGAGGCAACCTATGTTGGCTTCGCGTCGACAGTACCCAGCGCAATTCCCACTCCACTTCATGCAGTTGAACCAATGGAAATGCACTATGCGCTGAAGGATCATGCTGAAACTACTCCGCCGATCTTGGAACCTATGGCTAATGATTCGCACCCACCGCTACCTACTGAGGAGTTGCCGACAAAAGAGGGCCACATCCCCTCCCCCTCAGCATCACCTCACTACCCCTCCGAGCCACCCATTCCCACGCTCTCATTTTCAGAAGAGATCGATCCTGAAGAAGCACTCGCAGACCAAATTATAAATTCCATCGGCGCCGCAACCCCTTCTCCCGTCAAAAAGCACCAACCACGCATGTCCCTGTCCCTCATCGAACGAACACGCCTAACGATGTCCCGCAACAACTCCTTTGACCCACTTCCAGAATCTCCAGACCCTGTATCCATGGCCCCACCAGCCCTTCCCCTCCCCACCCCATTACAAACAGCAAACTCCAGCCACCAAGCCTCCCTCCTCGAACGCACTCGCCTCACCATGGAAGCCATGCAAGCCCAACCCCGCCGCCAGTCCCTCGCCCCCCAGCAGGCCTCCAACAAGGAAAAGGAAAAGGACAAACGCAAATCCCGCACCAGTCTGTTTCCCGTGAACCAATTCGACACGCCGCGTACGCGCAAGAGCATCGAGCAGATTGAGCGTGAGCGCAGTCGTGAGCGCACGCCGACGGAGGTGCTCTTTAGTGATAAGGTGGACTATGATAGGGTGTTTAAGAGTCGGCCTAAAATTGCTACGAGTCCCGTCTTCAGTCCTGCCGTGGTGGCTGGTATAGGACTCCATGATGGCGAGTTTGAGGTTGATGGAGTCACGGGGATTGATTTGGGTGATGTTGATATTGAGGGAGAGAGTGGGGATGAAGGGTGGGTGGAGAGTCCGAGTCGGAGGAGGGGGAGGAGTTGAGGGGTGGGTGTGAGGGGATATGGTTGGCGTTGGGGATGGCGCTGGAGGAGTGTTCAGCCAGGCGGAAATAGATGGATAGATTCTAATCAAATAACAAAAAAAATGCATAACACGCTTACTCATTCCTACTTATTAGCTATCCCCCTTCCCTCTACACAATAAGCTTTTCCGACTGCTGTTTCTTCACAGGAAAACCTTGGAACAACGCTCATTCCCATTCACACCCGTCTATTCCTCCTCCCCTCTAACACCCCCACAAACATCCCATCCCCAACCCACGCCTCCCACCCCCATCCGCGCAGAACACAGCCACAAAGACGGAAAGTCTCCTATCGCAGTATGTATTGTCTGTTTGTACTGTTTGTATCCGGAACTTGGGACTTTGCGACTCTGGATTTGGATTGGGTAGGCTGGCTGGAGATGGAGATGCAGAGGAGATCTCGGGGCAAGGCGTGTACAAGGACGATAAGAATACTAAGATGGGAGGAAGCAGGTAGGTAAGGTGCGATGGGACGAGATGGGAATGTAGAGGAGCTATGTGGACTGGGAAGGTAGATATAGGATAATACTGTACTGTAGGGAGGGATGGTATTGGGTGGTGCGCGTACGATAAATGCACTTCAGCTATGGTGATTGTACATATAAGCGCTAACTCCCACTTTTTTCCCGCAAGCTTATTCCGCTGTTTGTACGCGAATGTGTATTGCATATTGTTAAATTCTCATGAGTGGGGAGAGTTGCTGGGGTGGTTGCTATATGGGATGTGATGTTTTTGGAGTTGGGGGGTGAGGAAAGAGGGAACATGAAAGATGAAAATACAAAGCTACGCAGATAAGCATATCTGCGAACCTAAACAACTACCATAACACCCTCCATCCCAATTTCTTACCAAGCCCACACACCAACAGTGCAGCATAGCATGCCATCCCACAACACTCATCATCTCACCCACACCCGAGCAACCTCCAGACCACCAAACGAATCTTCTATCCAAGACACGCGTGCAATATACCAGTATACAGTCTCCATGCCCTATGCCACTACCCACAGCGTCTACGCGCGCAATTCGTATCCAGGTATACACACGGTCCGGTAAACCCACAGCCCAAAAACACACCACACCACAACCCGCCCCTCTTCCCGCATCAACGTTGACTATAAAAAAGGTATTTTGCAGATTCTGCAGCGCCGATGGTGGGAAAAAGCGCGAATATGGTGTGGCTAGCCCGTGATTCAGGTTTAGCTGGCAAGAGCAGGTGACGGGACTATCCGAGTCCTTATGTCTCTGCCGGTGTGTGGACTCTGGAGACATCTGGAGACATAGACATAACGGTCATGGTATTCGCTGGCTTGGATATAGTTGCGGAGGCGATGGGAGATGTTGCGAGTGGGGAAGGGTAGGATATAGGGTTTGTTTACTGAGGCGTTGGGGGCGGGGAGTGAGTGCGGTGGACTGAGTTAAAGATTGATGTTAGCGTTTAGACTTGGGTGGAATGAGGTTTTTGAGTGCTTACGTGGTTTCAAGAAGGGATTTGTTGTTGTGGGTAGTGCTGGGCTGGATGGAGGTGATGGTGGGCGCTGGGTGGTGTTGATGTGTGCGGGTCATGGCATTGAGGAAATACTCGGCGCGATGGGTGTGCCATGGGATAGATTGGTGTCTGGCTACATGTTATGAGAGTTGTATTTGCGATTTGAAATTGTTCATTTGATGGAACTATACGGGGTCAGTTGGACTCAGAGCCAGTGACGCTTCAGTGATCGCGTGGTGTCGTGAAGAGCTCGTGGCGATATCTACACACGACATCACTCAAGCCGTTTTCCTATAGCCATGGTCGAATCTGTTGTATCTGTCGAACAAGGCGATTGCGGAGGGACGCGTGTAAGATTCGGACGCGAAGTATCGTCAGAGCGGTGATCGGACGGTGGGTTGAGCGTGTTGGCAAGGAACGGGGTTGGAACTGAGAGTTGGGAGCTGTGCCAGCTTGAACGAACTCCTCGAAGATCGTGCGCCTCGAGGGATGTCCTTTGAAGGAGACGATCATGGACGAAAGTAATCTTGGAGATGACAATGTTTTTGTGCATAGACTGTGTCGCGCATAGACAGTCAAAGCAGCGGTGAAGCGGCAAAGTGTCGGTGCTCTCACACCTGGACTGAATGAGGCGACAAGTACGCTGGAATGTTCACGTCTGCTGCATAGTAAATACTGTGTGTATCACAGCTGCTGGCCATCAGCACATGCCAGTCTTAATCACAGCTTACCCTCCAGGAGCGCTCTTCCGCTCGAGTAGGGGGGTCTGAGCGCCTTGATGCCGACTCAGGTCACACCACTTCGAGCTTCAAAACTACTATTGGAGGAAGGAAGTGTCACCTCTGCTTCCTAATCGTTCGGTCTGATAGGATCTACAGTGGTAAATCCAGCTGCACCATCAAAGGATGGTTGCAGCTTTGGTGGCAGTGTGCTTAGCCCTTGGGATCACTGCTCGGGCCTTGGACCAGCTTTGCGTTTCGTATTTATTCAACCCAAAGTACTATGGTGTAGGTATTCAAAATGAATGCACCAGGATGCCGGTCGCATAAGTGAGCATATCCAAGGTTAGGGCGCGAGGGAAACGAACAGCCCATGTAAGACAAGCTACGCTGTTGATGACCCATTGGAACGGTCGCGACAGCTCAAATACGCCCAAGAATTGCGCAAAGTTGTACACGTCAACTCTTCGATTCATCGGCTTCCAAACTATTCCAAGGATGGTGGCTCCTCGGGAAGGAAGGCAGCTTTAGCCTTTCCAACACATGTCCGCGGATACTGCACCTAGACTTGAGACAGGGCTGCCCCACCCATATCCATGTGCAAGCCACAAGTTGATTTTAGATAGGTGTGTTGGTCGTAGGTTCCCCAAGTCATATGTATCCTCTCGCTGCTGGTGGTGCGAATTCGCATCTATTTCTGGCAGTGCGACACAGTGCTTTCTTGGACATTGAATCGCGGTGATGTGGTACGATCTGGAGATCACTAATCTTATTGTCATTTGCATGATCAGCTTCCCAAATCGAACTTGTCTGTCTGAGCCCGTGGATCATCATTTGTCCAGACAGGCGAGGACACTTCAGACGAAAACCAGAGAGATGTCCGTGAGCGAGCCGGATTGTCCAGCATAGAATCAATCTGAAAAAATCAAGATCATGAATGGTCGATACCAGGCTCCAAATCTATATTTGCTTACGTCACTTGAATACTACTAGCTTGCGGGTTAAGGAGGCCGACTTCCGCTGCCGTATGGCGAATCATCGCAGTATGTAGCCCTAAGGCTACACAAAAGGTAAGGTTGGATTTGTCAATAGGTGGAGGATGGTTTTCAACACGACCGGTCATGTAGCCAGCCAAACAGTGCTTATTCTTGCATAAGATCAAAAGTCGGCAATTGTGTCCTCCAGTGCCATGTGAGCCACCCTTGCCTTTCACAGCGGGTAGCTTCCGAGATGTACGCCGAACAATCTATAAATCTCTTGATCTTCTTGTGACTGTTTCAACCTGATAGGTTAGATGCGATACGAGAGGAACAGTTGTCCCATCAACGGCTGAGAGTGAAAAGCAAGCAACAACTCAGGCCCCATCCCTCAAGTCGAAGGATCCTTCATGCAAGTCGGTTTCGAATAAATGCCGGTACTTGATCGAGCGATTTGGTCCCTCAAAACCCTGATAAGGCAACGTCTAGTGGGGGTGCAATAGGTCCATCCTTCACAACTAACTGTCAGCCTAGCGCTTGGTGCATGCCTGGATCCAGTGGCCTTAATTGCGATGAAGAGATCTGCGCCTTCGAATGGCTTTTCGCAGGGTTCAACAGCAACTTACTGTGCTTTGTGCTTGTGTTCAGTCGAAGGCCCACATACCTTTCCGTCGTCAGGCATGGATCGAGGGTGCAAGCGGCGTCCATACACCAACAAGCTGACTGTCAAGTGCCAACGCTTGTCTCCAAAAAAGGCGCTATTTAACTGAAGTCGTGCATATTCGTGTAACACGCGGTGACTCCCAGACATGTTGATGGCAATATGGAGATAGGTGTGCGAGGACATCCTAGTGAGTGTCACGAGAGGACCTTGCGCTAGTCTTTGTTGTTGTTGAACATTCAGGTAGTCAACAACAACCACGTGGGGCAGGGGCTCATATGAAGACGATTCAACGAGAGCCGTTCATTCAGGGATACAGTTTCTATGGCCATGGGTTCCCGTCAGCCAACAACGCTGCCTGTCATTGAATCGTCTTGCACAGAATCCAAAAAAAAGACTGGCAGACAGACCCTAGTAATGATAGTCCATTATTACCTATCTAATTCAATCACATCCCCAGGATAAAGCTAGTTGTCACTTTTGCGCTCTCTCGCAACCAATGGAGATGGTATTGTTCCTCGGGCGTAATCTCCGTGTGCCTGGTGCGATGACAGCATCTCATGATCACTGCTCTCCATACTCAGACTCTACCTAGCCAATGCCCTATAAGCCCACAAATCTCCAGCGCCTTACGCAACAAGAGGCCCTTGTCCGCCCCCCACCCCTCGATAATGGCTCGCAGGCGGTGGCTCCTGGTTCATGCTCGTATACCCAGTGAGCTGTCTGAGTGCAACCTCTGCGGCGTCTTCTTTGGCCTGGTTTGCATGACTGCCATCGTACCAGTACCTGGCGCTGAATGACACACCATCGACGATGACCACCGAGGACCATGCTGTTCGGCCTCCTATGACGTGTCAGTCTATGGATGGCAGTGTAGCGACTTGGAGAAGATGAGAAAACGAAGGAGGATGGTGAGCCAAGACAGTAGACTGATGGATAGTAAAGGGAAACCCCAAAAGTTAGTGCTTACCACGACGGTCAGAAATGTCCTGAACGGTTGGTTCACCGAGCCGTCGGACGAGGCAGTGTTCTTTCAAGGAATCAGTCATCGATGCAATCGAGTAATGCTAATCGGAATTGAATTGTATGTACCTCGAAGACGTTCAGTCCAGGTAGGTCGGGTGTTCATCTTGATGGCTGTACAAAACACAAGACACTGTAAATATCCCTGAGGCTTGAATTTGATAAGCAGTGAAAACAATAGATCTGGTTATGTGGGTGATGTGCTGGCTTCTTGATCGTTGTTGCAATTTGGTGATATGATTCCTTTTGATGAAAACCAGTCTACTTATATCTCAATCTCTTCTTAGAGCCTCTTCGTGTCGTGCTCTTCCCAAACAACTCATCGATCGAGACCATATGATGCCAGCGCTGATCTTTCAGCCATGCGAGCATCCGTTTCCTACAGATCATACTGTCTTCCATCTGCCAGAAGCCGAACTGCAGCATGAGGTGCCGTTTGCCAACATCATGCTCAAAGTTCCCGGGAAGGCGGCCCAAGTCTTTTCGCCTACTACCGGCCCGCTCCTTGCTAGGGAAGGATGGGGCGACGAAGGCGCAGTCGCTTACCATGGCCGAGGGTGCGGGATACGGATTGTTGAGAAGAGAGCTTGCAAGAAAATGGGTTCCAAATTAGAGTTGGCATACATGGAGTATACTGTCGCGTAAACATGCATGAGGCCACTGCAGGGAAAGATGTCGTGGTTGACGTGTATACATGAAGGTTAAGATGGCAGCATGAACCGGGTGTTAGGCTGTTCCCGAGGAGCTGTGTTTGCATTATCCGCATGCCGCGAAACATACTTGATAAATTTGGGGTGAAGCGAGATGCAAGAGAGAGGCCAACACATACCTGCAGTAGCTTTGTCAAGATGGAGACGTTCGACTGACCATTGATTATGATTTCATATTGGACACTTTGAACTTCGAGCTACGGCTACTGTCAATAATACTGAGGCTTTTGTTTAGTGCCATGGATATTATCAAGCAAGCCACTACGATGGCCCTTGGCTTCTATTGGTGCCTCAGTTTACGTGCACGAGTTGCTTAGACAAAGTATAGTGGAAGAACGCGTGGCTTTACTCTGCCGACTTTGATAGCAGAGTGAACATATTGCCTTGTCACCTTGGCGCGGCAGGCGGGTACCTGCCGTTGTTTGTACGTTGTAGTACACACGAACCTGCATAATCGTGAGGCAAAAGAAGCCCTTCAGAAGCCTCTAATAATGTGAGGCTAAGCTTGCTGACTCGCACAAGCTCTTTACCTTGGGTGATGGGCTATTGTCTCGAACTCTGTGTCTCCCACAAGCGCAAACACGCCTCAAAAATGGATATGGGGACCAAAAGGTTATAGCTAAGTGCATGGTGCACAAAACTTCAAATCGTTCCAAAAAATTTGATATCGAACTGCGTGTGTATCGTTCTGTATGTGGATACAGTCTTTCTCGTTCATAAATAAAACTGGATGCGCCCAGGAAACCAAATAGAATCGCTAACAGCGGTTGGAGCAAGAGAGCAACAAATGTAGCAAGCAAACTGCTTGAGAGCAAAGCTATGCAAACAAGTGTCCTAGAACACCTACCATGACCACAAATGCATACAGCGCTTGCGCTTGGAAAGCAAAGCCAATAGGGCTAGCACAATCGAGCACCCGCATGAGAAGCAGTCCTTACAGAACAATTCTGACAGCTCGGGGATACAATAACCGCAGGTTACGGTAAGAGGTCCATATCGAGCCAAGTACAAGGATGTCGTGAACAAACAATGACCAAGCAAGCGCAGGGCACGGCTGTCGGCTGGAAGGCTATACCGACGTTGGGGCTCTGCGTAACGCAGATGGTTGTCTTTTTGAAGTTCCACTATCGGATTGTTTACGATGAAACACCTCATCAATCAGGCGCATCGGACCAATATACTCCATGTTCATCTTAAAGGATGATGTGCGGAGCAGTGGAATGTGTAACGGTGTACTTTGTTGCGAGTTAAACCGACGCTTGATACAGTCGTCCACAAGGGTCATGAGACCTGTTGCAACAACGACGCTGTCTCTGATTAGTGAAGATCGGGGCTACAGTCACATTGTGTCACTTACTCTGAAATGTCCGTGTCAGAGCTCAGAATGCCTTCATCTGTGATACGCATATAGCAAGGCGGCACCCAGCCACCCCTTGCGATTTCCTCTCGCGACTCTTCTGGACTTAATCGTACAGGGCATATATGTGCCAAGGGCTCCTTATCGTTGTCGTTGCGGACCAGATAATAAGATACGGTTTCCGGATCGCGCTGGCTGTCCCTTTTGATGATGCGCTTCCAAGAGTAATCGTGTCCCCAGTGCTCGAAAGCGTAGCGCTTGTAGGATCTGGCGCCTCGCCGTTTCACATCGAGATGGGCATAATTGGAAAACTCGAGCTTGATGGTATTGGTGGGCATGAGCGCACGACCCTTGCTGTAGCCTACAGACTTGGAACGCATCTCAGACGAGACGAAATCGTCTTCCTCATCGTCGGCGTGAGGTGTACCACGGACTGACTCATAGCCGGAGTCAGACCGTTTAAGACCAGACGATGTTGTCGGACGGGACTCAGACTTGACCAGGTTGGCGATGGCTGTGCTTGCACGCTGCAGGACAGGGTGCTTCTCTGCCGCTGGCTGCTGGTACTTTCGTATCGAGTGGCAGACCTCACGGCCAGATTCTCTGCAGTAGCGACGTAGGGAAAATTGGCGCGTTCGAAGATCTTGCATGCGCAAGTGGAAGAGTGTGTAACTTTGTTTTCGATGGCCTCGCTCCTCGACCTGTGTGTCGACCCTCAGGTTCATGTTGCCATCTATGGTGGAATCGTCGTGACGTATGGATAAGCGTTTAGCTGTGGGGAACAGCTGTCCAAAGTCGCGGGGGGTCGTTGGAATAGCATCGCACGGTAGCGGGTCATGGCGATAGACTGGAACGTCGTAATCTGGCGTGTCGTCGTCGGCATCGTCGGCGTGGTCTTCTTCTTCTGAGGTGGAGACATATGTGTCGACCGAGTCGGCCGATGATTGGGGAAGAGGCTGTTCATATCGATATTGCTGGCGGTGGACATTTGATGTGAAGTAGTCTTGGTCTCGCGAACTGGTTTGGACACGGCCATAACTAGTCTCGCCAGCATAGCCCGTCTCAGCTCTGGCTATGGATGGGCGATGTGAGTCGCTGTACTCTGTCGGGGCGGTCTCATAAGAGCGGTCGCTGCGGCCGGATGTGGTACTGCTCGACTCATGCTGCTGTTGTCGCCAATGCACGTTGCGCGACATGGTGTGTATGTATTGTATGTGTGTGAGTGTGTGTGTGTGTGTGTGTGTATGGATTGCAATGGGGGGTTGATATTAAAAATGAGTAATTGCTGATGTCGCAGTACAGAAGATGGGATGGGAGGTCGTCGTCTGTGGAACGCGCACGGCCATATATCGAGGCGGTGGATGGATGGGTGAGAGGTGAGCGAGTCGGGGTCGGGAAGAGTGAAAGGCGCAGCAATGCAAGACAGCAAGACAGCACACGAAGGGGTGACCTGGCACGAGGTGAACGGCACACGCAGGGACCGAATGGGGATTAAGAGGAAACCCAGACAAGCCAGACTTTTCGCAGGGACACGGCAGCGCGAATGAGGGCGCAGCGCATGGCGTGGGATCAGTCAGAAATGCCCGCACTGCGCAGGCTGGCGACGTGGGTGTGGGTGTGGGTGTGGGTGTGGGAGGGGGAGGCTTCCACGCCTCCAAGCTTCCAAGGATTGTCTTGTCTCTGCCGTTGCGGGGTCTGGCCCTTCGATTCATGGCCTTTACAAGGTTTCTGTCCTCGATCATCGTCCATCCGCACCAACAAACAAGCCTGCCCCTTGTCCCTCGAGAGACTCCACACCGTCCATACAGTCCACACCGTCCATACAGTCCACACCATCCATACAGTCCACACGGTACTTACACAGTATGTACTCTACAACCAACTACATACAACAGGCAGACTACCACCCAACACCCTCCGCTGCCTTGGCTGTCTTCAGCGAATCCCGTCGGCCAGACAACGCCTTTTTGCGACTTCAGTCGTCCATGTGACTTTTCCATTCTCAGCACGGTACAGATGGCTGGTCGAATCAGCTTTCTCTGGCCCACCCCTTCACGAGATTGCACTACCTAGTCGTACTGTATCTACCTATTGGGCCGCCTTTGTTGCCTCGCTCACTGCAGCCTTCACCATCCAGCCTTTTCACTGTGGCTGGCAGAGGCTTTTAGCAAGACCTAACCTGTGTGCGCAATGATGGCATTGTGACCGCTCACTCAGCTGTATACCGATTCGAACGTCATTTTGCTCCGACACACCCCATGGTACGCCAGGCCTTCCTTGCTGAGCAAGCAGACGGCCATGATGCTGATATGTGGGTTAGAGTAGGCACTATCTTGTTGCCTAGTAGCCTTAGTGCCAGTCTACATCTACTCTACTCTACTCTACTCTGCTCGGAGCCTGCTCTCCCCTCCCTACAATCGTACTCCAAAGCACCCAAGACTTCTCGGACTCGGCCTGCGCCTACGGGACACTACGGGACGCGCCTTGGTGGCTGACCCACCCACGTGTGTTCGTTCGGCCGGCCGGTCGTCTTCGACGGGCCTCTCCCGGTTGTCAGCAGACGGTGGGAACACCAGACAGTTCATCGCGCAACGCTCCACCACAACGTCATGTCCTGCAGATGACTATTCCCTAGGCTGCTGCCAGACTCGGAACTGCTCGTTGTGGCAGGTAGCCTCTCTCGTCTCCATGGGCGCCCGAGGCCTTCCAGCCTTCTTTAGCCGCCGCGCAACGACTGCGCTGGCAAGGTTCACGCCCCAATCCATCAGCGAAGCCAGATCCTCACTGCCGTGCTAGCTACTAGGCACTGCAATCGTAAACGGTGGATAGGCACCGCATTCTGCAAGATCGTCATGGGAAAACGCCATCGTCGTGAGAAACCTGCGATCGATTTGGAGGGGTGCAGGCGTTGTCACGGTATCAATATCGCGCAGACGTGGTTGTTGGTTGGATTAGGTGGCTGCCAAGCCTCCATCCCGTCTCTCGTCCCAAGCATGTCCAGGTAGGTAGGTTCCAGGGAGACTAGTAGAGGTTCGCAGTTTTCAGCACGTGACCTCTACACTCTACACATGTACGGTACTTATCCACTTGGTGACTTGGACACCCTTCATCACCTCCCGCGGTCCTACCTTGCAGAGTCCGCGCAATGAAATCTGCTCATACACCAGAGAAGTCCTGCAACATGTCCTCAATAGATTGGTAGCATTATTTCCTTGACTCGGAGTCCTCCATATATAGCTCTCCAATGCCTAGAGTAGCAGCAGACTTATTACCTTCCTCGAAGCCTTCCATCCGTTCAACCAATCACGAACAAGTACGTGGTGGCATCAAATAGCAGCTACGACACCTCAACGCACAACTCTTTCTCACGGCCCGTTATCGGTGAGGCTATATGGACGGTAGCAGGAGTAGGCACCAGCACCCTAGGCCAGCTCAGAGTCCGTCTTACCCTTCGCATCGAATGCTCGTCATTCAACGCGCCTCTCCCGACACCTTGAATCGATAGGCACTCCCTGCTCCGCCTTCTTTTCCCATTCACCAGGGCTGCCTCTCTCTGGTCGACGTTGAAGTGGAACCTGCCCTTTGCAGGACCGCCCTGTGGGAAGCGAGGTTATACATCGCGATGACACCGCCGTGCTAAGCACTGATTGATCCATATGGACCAGGCAACGTTCAGCGATTAGGCGGATTCGACCCTTTAAAGCACCCAGTGGCATCACGGCCTATTACTTGATTGCAGGACCTCACCTTTCCCCACATTTGGCTCACCTTGCAGATCTTCTAGTGGGAGAGCGACATTGGGCATTAGGCAGATCCATGACCACTCGTAAGAGTGGATTGAACAGTCCACTTGGTTCAGGCATGCATACATCCTAGGCAACAACATACATAATGCAACGGAAGGACGCTCCGCGGAAACGAATCCATACCTTCTCGTTCCTCCAAGGCTTATCTTGATAGGTGCAAAACTTCCATCTTTAGGCAAACACGGGCTGTAGAGGACTTTTATACGCCTTGAAATGTATTAACCTTTTCCGGAAGAATATTCTCTGTCCTTTGGTCCTTGTCGTTGCCGCCCAACGGTTTTCCAGCCTGGGAGATTGGCCAAGGCCAAGCTGATTCGGTTCTTACTCCTACGCCTCATGGTACCTCGTTTTGGATGTCAACATTCCAGCTAGAGAGAGTCAACCTAAACTACTCAAAGTACTATGACGGAGTAAATCGCAAAATCTTAAAACACAAACGGTAAGTCGCACCAAGACAAGCCTTACACCACAAAACATCCCACATGAAACTCTACATCAAGATCACCTTCACTACCACATGTGACATCACTTACCCCCAAAAAACCCACCTACTCCAGTAGAATTAACGCGCACAAGACCAACCGCTCGACCCAAAAAATTCTTCCATTACGATTCCAGTGTAAATCCCTGGATCACAACAACCCCCCCTTCCCTCACAACAGCACCACAGCACCACCTTTCCAGCCTTCCCCATCAACCACCCCCGCCCTCTGAAGCAGCGAGAACCACCGAGAATCAGCAAGATACCTCATATCCCCCATCCACATCCCATCCCGTCCCCCCTACTCTAACCCTCCAACTACACTACAATATACGCGCTATCCTCTCCAAGCTTTCCCAACACACCCCAGATCACCCCACAAACTCCAACCCCTACACCACCGCATAAAGCGTTTCCCAGCCAAGCACGCACGCACATGGGACTGACGCGGTTGACGCGCCGCGCACGTTGGGAATTTGGGGCTGTAGCATGTAGTGAAGTCCGGGGGTTGATGCGGCTTCATGCATCAATATCCCCTATACCCCTACCGTATCCCCCGCGTTCATGGCGTGCATAGCCTGGTTTCTCATGGCTGAGCACAACGGTTTTCAGTGTTGAGATGCGGATTGACGTTTGTGTGCAGACTCTGGGGTTTGGAAATCGGACGGATGGGGGTGTGACGTTGAATCCTTGGCTATTGGGAAATGTAAGGGATGGGTGTGACGTATAGGTTGGAGAGCACTGTTTGGACGTTTTGGTGTGTGGGACAGGGGTTTGTGACATGGATAAAAGATACACTAGAAGAAAATATGCATGGTCGAGATGGTAATGGTAGTTTGATCCGGGGAAATGGGAATCGGGGTTATGGTATTGGTCTTAGATATGCATAAGAGTATGGAAGCAAGTTTGGTATGAAAAGAACTTTGGTATACAAGGTGTTCTTGATCTTTGTTCGAGCGAACCCGCAGTCATACCAAGGCATGTCATGTCACATTGCAACATGGTCGTGCTAGCATACCTTCCAGTATAGAGCAACATGAGGCGCGACATCACAAGACACTTTTAAGCTGGGCTCTGAATTGAATTTGCACTGATCATCGTCGTTTCCCACTACAAGTACTACGGCCGATCTGTGTCATACTGTACCCTTCTTCCTGTCTCAGAGGACTTTTGTTCGTCATTGAATCGTTATCGTTGACCATGTACCACCGTATATGCTTTTGCTATTAACGAGACGCGTTTACAATTGACCGCAGTTTGCAATGGTGACGGTCTTGGAGGTGGATCCGCTGGAGGAGCCGACCTTCTCGACGGCCTGGACAACATCAAGACCCTCGACGACCTGTCCGAAGACGACGTGCTTGCCGTCCAACCATCTAGACGCTTTGTTAGTACGCGACGAAGGAGTGATACGGTTCAGAGTACTTACGAGGTCTTGACGGTGCAGATGAAGAATTGGGATCCGTTGGTTCCTGGGCCGGCGTTGGCCATGGAGAGGATACCGGGGCCAGTGTGCCTCAGGTTGAAGTTCTCATCCTCGAACTTCTCGCCGTAGATGCTCTCACCACCGGTGCCCTATGATGCATTAGCCGGAGTGTTCCTATTCTGGAATGGCTTCAGAAACGTACATTGCCACGGGTGAAGTCACCACCCTGAAGCATGAACTGGGGGATGACGCGGTGGAAGTTGGAGCCCTTGTAGTGAAGGGGCTTGCCAGAGCGGCCGGTTCCCTTCTCACCAGTGCAGAGCGCACGGAAATTCTCGGCAGTCTAGAGGGTGATGGTCAGCAAAGTACTCCAATGGAGGGGCGCAGACTCTGATGGCGGGGCACCTACCTTGGGGACCTGGTCGGCGAAGAGCTCCATGACAATCCGGCCAGCGGGCGCACCGCCAATGGTGATGTCGAAGAAGACACGGGGGTTGGACATTTTGATGGATGTGGTGATTTGTGTTTGAGAAGGAGGGGTGGTGGTGGTTGTGGTGGTGAATGGAATGTGGGTGGAGAGAAAGATGAAGGAGGGGCACACTTTATGAGAGAGATCGATGGAGGGGTAGATACGCTATGCTCCTTTAATAGCTCCTGCCGCAGCACCGATGACAGCTTACCTTTGGCTTGCGCGAAACAACAGTGAGAGATGCCAGCACGAAGTGGGGACGGGCGGGTTATTGGGTGCGCCATTGGCCTCTTACCCATAGACCATGCCATTTGCCTCCGAAGATGCGGCCTTGTTGGGGGCAAGGTGAAGCTGCCAGGAGGGAGAGCTTGGACCACCTTTTGGAGGGGCAACTTGAAGTACCGGTCATTGTTGTACTCCTATGGGGTGGGGGGCGTGGTAGGTAAGGGATCGTCCCCCTGTGCGGCAGGAAAGTGAATGGAGACTTTGATGACTGTGGTAATGGCTACAATCTCTGGTTATGTATATCATGTATGTGGCAGAAGACCCATTCAAGATTGCATACCAGGTTGGGGTACAGTAGGGCTGAGTGGTCACTT